TGATTGTGGTGCATTGCCTAAGATCCGATCGTTTGATGGCAAGTGCTCATCGACTAGTAGTAGCGGCATTTGGAGAAGGATTTATGCAACAGGATAAAGTCATCGATTTGCATGATATCATTGAAAATGAGGTGATTTAGATTTTATCTCTTTTTTTGTCTGCTAGTTCTTAATTAATGCTATGATATTAGGTGTCATCTTCTGATCCTGTGCTGTTGTGCTCAGCCATTGGGTACGATGCGTCTGGTAAAATTGAAGATCTTGGAGTACAAACTGGTAGACCAGTTACTTCCATTGCTATCGGTTCTGCCGAAGGATTCAGTCAAGCAGATGCGGTTGGTTTTTTTTATCATTTAACTTTTATTTTTTAATGTAGGCTCCTTTCGTAATGTACTTGTTCATTTTGATATTCTCCTCTCTAGCCTCCTCTTTCACCCTAGCCTTAATGATTCAGGCCCTCACAGCAGCATCAAAGTCCGGACGTTGGGTGTTGCTTAAGAACGTCCATCTTGCTCCACAATGGCTTGGAAATATGGAAAAACGCTTGCACACTCTCAAACCTCATGTCAACTTCCGACTATTCCTCACAGCTGAGATCCATCCCAAATTGCCTGCCTCAGTACTACGAGCCTCGCGTCTCGTGGTATTTGAGCCTGCTACAGGCCTCAAAGCGAATCTCTTGCGGTCGCTTTCTGCTTTGCCGGGACCTCGTCTGGCCAAGGCACCAGCTGAGCGTAGCAGGCTGTATTTGTTAATCTGCTGGTTACATGCCCTAGTGCAGGAAAGATTGAGGTTAGCATACACTTTGGTGCTTTTTAGAACAGGTAGATATTCTTACGTCATTTAGATATACACCCTTGGGATGGGCAAATGCGTACGAGTTTTCCGATGCTGATCTTCGTGTAGCTTGTGATACCCTTGATGCAGCTGTGGACTCCGTAGCACAAGGTCGCGCCAATGTCGCACCAGAAAAATTGCCATGGACTACCTTAAGAACCCTGCTGAGCCAGTGTATCTACGGAGGAAAGATCGATAA